GTGGATTTCAAGCTGTAGATCAGGCCACACACGAACTAGATGCCTGTGCTGCTAGCGCTAGGGATTTCTTCCAAGATGTAGGTTTTTTATAGGGTCTGCGAGCTTACATAGAGCCGAAAAGATTTCTGTTGGTAGCAGAATAGTATCAGTACAGAGCGGTACAGTAGCAGAACCTCTTATCTTGACCACAATCTTCAGAATCCCCTGAATATGTGTTGCAGTTCTTTTCTAGAAGACACATAATGTGTACTATTGTTTCTAAAAGCGTTGGACTTGGTGCTGTACATAAACCAACTTGTACAGTGCATTTTGGGGCCAGTTATTCGAAAGGTCACATCTTCAAAGTGCGATTTTGTACTCATAGCTTTTTCGCAGAACACTCGCAATATACTCCGCGCATTTGAACTAATTGCGACCGATATGCAAATCGAAACTCTCACTTCTCATGACGAGCTCGAGAGGCGGGTAAAGATGGCTCAGGAAATTTCTGCAAAGTTAGAGCAGGTAAATTCACTTCTATGATTTTTCTCCCGCATAAATGCAAATCTGCAATCCTCAGCTCCCGGATGTGGTGAAAAGCGTGCTTGACGAGTTTCGTACAAAGCTTGATGCAGCGATGAATCATTTCATGAATACAACAATGATCTATGATGGAACAGGCTTGAACCCTTTTGATGGAGAGATAGTAAACATAGATCAAAACTTGGAAGGAGAATCTGTGAGTGGAGAGGCACGGTTTTTCTTCGTTGTTCTAAGCATTTTCGTATTTGGCAGACGCTTTATTTTATAGAACGGGGCTGCAAATTCCGGCGAAGTTGGTGGTCCGGCGAACTGCGAAAATATGGTGGATGGCACTTCGGCTCGTTGCGAGGATGTTCGTGACGTACCTAGGTCTGTGAGATTTTCCAAATTTGAATTTCAATTGTATTGATTAACGTTGCTTAAGTATTCATTTAGGGATTAATAATTTCTAATACCTGAAGTTTTGAAATGTTGTTCATTTACAGAGCTCTTTCATTGCTTGAACGAAGAACGCGACAGCTGAGAGCCATGCAGCAGCAATGCAGTGCCCTGCGCAGACGTAGACTTCATGGACGTTTGAGCAGGGATGTACACAGCTTTGGAGAGGAACGAGCACGGCTGGAGGTAATCTTGAAGATTTCTTTTAACTAGGAGTGCTCTATGGTTGCTGAATTAGCGTCTCCGTGACGAACTTCGCAATGATCTTTACGAGACAGAGGATCAAGATGTGGAAACCCGTGAAGCGAGGAGGAATCGCATATTGAATTCTCTGCGATCGCCGATCCCACCGTCACGCCCTGCATCTACTGTGACTACCCCCTCTCGTCCACATGGGGTACTTTGATCGTATAGCTCTGTAACTCTCAACTGTACTCCTTTCTTGCATTCCATATTGGTACACTTTTACCATTCTCTTTATTTTAAGGATGAACGAGCGCGAAGCAACAGCATAGAAATTATTGCAACTCCTCCTGCTGTCGCTGATTTGGAACAGCGCGCTGGACGAGTAAGCTTTTCAATGCCTTTCATCGAAATTAGTATATGACTCCCTTTCAGTGGAGATTGGCAGAGGTACTAATCGACCGTTACTCTAAACTCTTTTAATCTGCGAAA